TGAGTATGGGTATCTCTTCTCAAAGAGTATAATGAGAGAAGTAATTTTGTAGCTTTTTTAACTATAAATTCTTTTCTTATGAAGTTATCTATTTCTAGATTTTCAAGAGGCTATGACTAGTTAGTAGCTATAGTAATTTTGCTTTTAAGCTTCTTCTAGATAATTAGATAAGGTTTCTATCTTTTTGGCTATCTTTTTGTTTTTATTGTTGTTTGGGAGAAAGCAGTAAGTACTAATATATTTCTATGTATATATATTTTGTTTGTTATCAGATTTCTCTTTACTCTTGCTCAGAAGCAGTTATTAGTTAGAAGTTTTATCTATACAGAGATTAGTTTGGAGCTTAGAATATTTTTAAGAATAAGAGCATCTAGTTCTTCTTAGTTACTTTTAAGTTAGAAAGTAGTATATCAAGGAAGAAGTCTTAATTTGTATTTGATTCAGTTTGTAATAATTTTGTCTATCTCATTAAGTTGTTTTCTACTATGTAGAAGCAAATAGGCTATATACTAAATTTTAGAAATTAGAAGAGATTTAGTAATTAAAATTTTATCTTTTAGTAAAAGGTTTCTGAGAATATATTCTTAATATTGTTTTTAATTGTCTTAATAATATTAGACCAAAGGTTTTTTTTAGTAGAAACTTTCAAATTTACTTCATATTCTAGAATCTTAATAGAATTTAGATCTTACTGAAATATTTTGAATTTGTTTTGATTTTGTAGTTCTATGTAGTATGCATTTTCTATAAGGGTACTAGCATCAATTTGGCTTTATTAATTTTAGAGTTTAATACTAGCTTGTATTTGTTGATAAGGGATAAAATAGTTTTCTAGTCTGAAACAGAGCCTGCTTCTAAAGTGAGATTGTCTATATAGGTAGCTATTTTAAAAGTAGATTCTAGAATATTTATGTCTCTGATATATTTTTGAATAGATTGAATCAAAGAGTTGATTGCTAAAACATATAGTAAAAGTGAAAGGAGATCTCTTTGTTTTATACCTTATTCAACATTGAAAGGCTCTAAGAAGTTATCTGAATCTAGAATATATACTTGTTGAGAAGTGAAGAGTAAGACTACAATCCTAATGAATTTGTTTTTGAAGCCCTTTTTTTGAGCACTAATTGCATTAATTGGTAACTAATTCTGTAAAATACTTTTTGTTAGTCTAAGAAGAGGAGTAGTGTTGCTTGAACTAGTCTGGTTAGTTCTTTAGTACTATTATAATATCTAAGACAACATCAAAAATAGATCTTCTAAAGGCAAAAGCTTGTTGAGCTGAGTTAACAATTTTGTTACATGTAATATTTAGTTAGTTCACTAATATCATCATAAAAATTTTAGTATCATTATTAACTAGAGAGATCAGTCTCTAGTTGCTTATGTTCTCTAAGTTATCTAATTTCTTTAGAATAAATGTGATTAAATTCTTACTTCAAGAGTGTAGAATTTGCTCTGTTAGCAAGATATAATTAAAGAGTTTAGTAAGAATCAGAATAAGAGCTTCTTTTAGAATTTTATAGAACTTATATATAAGCCTATCTGGGCCTAGTAATTTGTTGTTTAGAAGTTTGTCAATTATTGATCTGATTTATTTCTCTGTTATCTCTTTATTTAAAGCATTATTTGCATTTTATAAGATTTTTGAAGTATTGTATAGGAGTTCCTCTGCTACTAGAAGATTAATAATTTCTGCTTTGTAGATATTCTCATAGTAGCATTTGATGTATAGCAGGGTGTTAGCTATATATGTTAGGCTAGAGTAATCTAGGTCTTTGATTTTTGAGCTACTAGATGTTGCATGTCTAATTTTGTATCAAACAAAAAAATACTTTGTGGATTTCTCTCTCTCTTCAATCTATTTAGAGTTAGATCTGATTTGCTATCTTTCTGAGAGGAGTTGCAGTTCTTTTTGAAGCTATATTTTGGTTTCTTCAAGTACAGATTGAAAATCTGTGAGTCTGTAATCTCTAATTATTCAATTGCTTATACCTGTTAGTCTCCTCTGTAGAATTTGAATCTTTTTTTCTGAAGAAGAGTTTTGTTTGGCTGTTCTAATTATTGATTGAATCATGCATTTATATAAGTTCTACTTATCAAGGTTTTTGATTCTCTGGAGTTCTTTGAGAACTTTGTTCTTAGTTTCTAAGTTTGAAAGAGATTTTGAATTGAATCTCTATAAACTATTATTAAAAATATATACTATAAATTTTATTAAAAAATTTTTTTATTTTTATAATTTTTGAATAATAAATTTTTAAAATTTATATTAAAAAATTTAACTTATTTAAGAATAACTAAAGGTGAAATTCACTAAAATATATTTCTGTTTAATTATTTTTTAATAAACAACCTATTTTTTCTTAAATTTTAAAGTTAAAACAAAACTTATATTAGAGTTAAAGTATTTATTATATGTAAATTTAAGTACTGATAACTTTTACTTAGTAACATAAAGCAAGTTTTCATAATAAAATTAAATTCTATATAATTATTTTAAAAAAAGTAAATAGCTAATAATTAATAAGTTTATCAATAATAAGTAATAAAATTTTTTGCATAAAAAATTTCTTTAAACTTATTTTTAAATCTGAGTTTGACTAATAGTAACTACAGTAATTATCACTAGTATTTAATTAGCAAAACAAAAAATGATTCTTTTCATTTTTTTAGAGTTAAGACGAGACTTAGAATTTTATCTAAACATTAGATATATGCAAAATTTAGCAAGGAATTTTTTTTGTTAGAACGACGAAGGTAATTAATTATCTTTATTTTTGTTTTACAAATAGATTTGCACGTACACCTGATCCTGCAAATTTATTGGCTAATAACACACAACATCGGTGATGATCACCGCGGTTATAGTTAGCAAAATTCTTCAAATATTATCAAATATAGATCATAGATATTATTACAGAAATTTTCCAGTCAAATTTGTCTGGAATAGCTTACAGATTAAGGGATATTATTTAGTATTCGATAATTCATGAATATAAGGTAAATCATCATCAGATGATTCATAACCATTCAAAGTACTTAAATAAGGAGAATATGTCTTGAACTTAATAAAGAATAATTTGCTAAGTATACTAGAGAGCATTGAAAGACCTGATGCTATTAAAGTGAATAATGGAATAAAATCGAGTTTGACACTATAAAAGATATAAAATATCTAAAATAATATAGACAAGTTAGTATAATACACGTATTTAAATTTTTATTTTATTTTAAAATATAATACCTGAATAGTAAATTGAGGTATATCTGATAAAAATATGTCTGCACAAGATCCCCAAAATATTATTTTCAATGATTTATCAGATAATGGAGCATTAAAAAGTTGAAGTTTCATCAAACGTGATTTTAGCATTAATAATACATCAATATTTGCACCAGATAATAATGCAAATGATGTAGAAATTCTTCCATATTTTGAAAACCAATATACAAATTCATCATCCCGTTCAACAAATAATACTGTAAATGCTAAAACCAAGTTGAATGTTATGGGAACCACGAAAAAAAATACGCTAAAATTTTGTTGATGAAAATATTTAAATATTAATAGGATGATTATTTAATATTTATTTAAATATTATGTAAACATACCTTGGTATATAAAGAACTTTAATAGTTTTAGCATCAGTAAAAACAAATGTTGTAACGGTGACAATACGAAATATGGTAATGCCAAGTTGAAGAATAGTAAAGTTTTCACCCTATATTTTTATATAAATATTAGATATGAAGAAAATGAAGAGATCATATATAAAGGTATTATAATTAAATAAATTATTACCTCTGGTGAATTTAATCGGGCTACTATAAATTTTAGTAAAAATATAGCAATAAATACAGATAATAAAATGAACTTTGTTTTATGTATTTCAAAGAAATCTGATATTGAGCCTATTTAGAAAGATAAATAAAACAAATTTTTTAAATATTGTGATAATACCCAAAATCATAAAAATTACAATAAAAGATTCTTACTAGTTGTTTGAAATCCATAAGTATCATCTAAATAGTATGTAGCATTTCCAGTTGATATACCCGTAATTGCTTTATTCTTTATTAATTGGTTTAAATTATTCATTATATCTGTACTAAGCAATTTTTCACCAATTTTTGCCGCACTAATAGTAAGTGGAATGAGAATTTTTGATTGAGAATTCGAATCGAATTGATAATGCTCATTTGAGCTCAATCTATTTTTCTCAGTGGGAATCCTAACTGAAAGTTCTTTTGTTAAATTGGTAAAAAAGTCATATTTTGCTGAGTCATTTAAACTTTGAAAATACAGAGATCCATCTGTTGTTAATCTTAGTATTCCATGGACATCATCTAATTTAATCATAAAAATTAGCATTAATTAAAATTATACATAAATAAATTAATCCTATAGGGTTTAAAATGCATTACCAGCACGCTTAGTTAGTAGAACATTATCAACTATTTAATATTAATCAATAAAATTAGCTATTAATAACAATCAAAGAATCATAAATAAAATAATGCAAACCTGTCTTAAAAGTCCATATATTTGGATTAATTCCAAGTAATGATTCACCATAATCTGAACTCTTTACAAAATTGTTATCCATCTGTATAAAATATTGGCCACCCGGTTCATTAAAAGTACAATCAAGAATATTTAGTTGGACTATTTTATCAATAGCAGTGCAATTACTATTATCACAAGCTCTTGAATTAATCGTTTGTCGAAGAATATTTGTTTGGTTAATTTTTTGGTAGATTGCTAAATTTCCATTCGAAAGCGAAACGCGATCATTGAATTTGATTGTGATCATTTTAGTATTCAATGCTAAATCTATAGAGTTTCTTTGAGGAGATGTTGAGTTAACATGTAAATTGCCATAACCACTATCTATATACATACAAACACCATTAATATTTTAAATTAACAAGATATATATATATTATACAGTATTTAAAACCAAAGTTTACCATTATACGGGGAAAGTGAAGGCAGATCAATCGAAAGAAGATTCCAAGAGTTATATGTTTCATTTTGCGCCACTAGCATCGTATTATTTTGCAATATATCAAATGAGCCAACTAAATTTGAGGTAATTGACTGTTGCGGAAATATCCAATTGGATAGTTTACTATTTTCGTCATAAAGACTAAAGGTGAAATTTGTAAATCCAATGTAAGATTGTCGTGATATTAATGCATATCCTCCAAGAGGAAGTGTTCTGATATTTGGTGAGGATATGATGTTTAAAACAGAAACTAATTCTAGCATGGATCCGGATGAAAGAAAACGTATTTTAATATAAAATGTAACGTTTCGATCCGATTTTCCGGCTACAATGCATGTTTGACCAATGAAAACGTAATCGACAGAGCAGGTTAAACTAGAGAAAGTAATATTAACGTTAGGAGTAGGCATTTCATGTAAAATAATTGCTTGAGGTGTTATTGTTTGATTATAATTCAATATTATAGCATATATCCCAGCATTAGAATTAAATTGACTATCTAACTCTAAAGTGAAATTAGATGTAATATTTCCGGCGATTGTGTTTTTTGTCGAATTAGCATACACAATCGCATATCCACCATTTAGAGTTTGAATTACGGTAAGTTGAAAGCTAAAACCTGAAGTTTGGACCCTATCACTTGCAAATATACCGTAGTTTCCGTTGCCTGTACTAAAAAGAAAGAAATTTTTAAATCGATTTTAGGTGTATGTAATTAGCAAGTACAAGAATTTAGCGCACTATTCATATTGCCACCATTCGAAATAACCATCTCTAGTTGCGGATAAACGAAAAAATCCCTTTTGAGGATCAATGTTATTTATAAAATATTCATTTGGAATCCAATTATTAGTGACTGGTTCCAAGTAAGATGCTCCAAAATCAAATTTACTGTCATATAAGAATATATATACAATCAGTTATCGTATTAAACATTAAATACATTTATATGATTCAACGAACCTCATAACATTTCCACTCCAATTCAAAACCTGTCATGGCGTTGAGACATTACCACGAACTTATCCCGATATGGTTAATTTAACCCATTGTAATTTCTAAGCCGCATCTTCGACAATCGGGTTAATTATCCAACAATGCCTTTTCGGGGTTACTGCGCAATTGTTGATCAGTGGTCGTTCTTGGGTTTGTGTATCGTTTCGATTCAGTAGTAACGTAGTATTTCCTTTTTCGTAGACCAGGAATAAAGATACAAAAAAAAAGAAATATTGAAATTTATAGTTACTTACTTTGCCTTTATAATTAGTAAACTCAGGTACGCATATTTTTATGGTTTTCCTTGCGTTACCAAAAATTCAAATAAGAGTTTATGACGATAACGAAAATAATCATGGGGTAAAGCTAAATAAAAACTTGTAATTCAAAATTTTGGTAAGTTTATTCCAATCTGATGATTTATACAAAGTTTGGATATTTATTTAACAAAAGTAATAAGAACTAAAGTTTCTTAGAGATGGAAATATAAAGTTTTAATTTTATTTATAGATACAAACTTTATCTTTTTTTTTGATTTATTGCAGATGAAGCTTTAATTTAAACTCAGCATATTTTATTTATCCCTATAAATAATGAAGTCTCTTTTAGTTTTCCCCATGATTATTATCTTTTTATTGGCTGTTCTACCAATAGGACTTACGCAAAATGTCTTAAGTTCTTTAAATTTCACATATACTGAAAAATCTTATCAAAATAATCTTACCGGAACTCCACCTCACGTCTTAGCTATTAGACATTATCAAAGCAATGATAATGTGGCAGTTATTCGTGTCGGTCGAGTAAATAA